GAAAGAATTTAGAGAAGGTCTAAATTAACAGAGCGATATGTTGATGGTTAAAGGACTGCATGGAAAGGGCGTCAGTTCTCCGTGTTGATGGTTAAAGGACTGCATGGAAGGCACAGTTCAATTAATTTCTTGGTGGATTCCATGCCAGTTTCAAGTCCTGTGAGTTTGTTACCCCTTTTCTGGATCTTGAGAAGCAGGTTACGTGGAAATGCAAAGTACCAGAACAGCTGAGAGCCTCGTGCAGACGCAGAGCAAGGCGGGAGGACGTGCCGGGCAGGATGGAGGCTTAGGCGGCCAACCCAGTGGTGGTGCCCAGGGAGGGACCGTGCTGGAGGTTACATCAGGGGTCTCGCTGCAGAGCAGTGGGGAAAGACACAAGCGGTTTTTATCCCCAAAGTTTAGTTCCTTTGTGTCTATGTTATATGTTTTCTTTTGTTGTGAAACCAGGCATGGTCGTGCATGCCTGTGGTCTCAGCAACTTGGGAGGCTGAGGTGAGAGGATTGCTTGAGCCCGAGGGGCGGAGGTTCCAGTGCGCCGAGATTGCACCACTGCACCCCAGCCTGCGCAACAGAGCCAGACCCTGTCTCAAAAACAAACAAAAATGTGCAGGGGGAAGCGAGAACCCTTTAGAAAATAATGTAGGAGAACATCTTCATGACCTGAGAGTTAGGAAAGATTTTTTAACAGGACACAAAGCTCCAATCACAAAAAAAAAGGTTAATAACTTTGACTGAAATGAATGTAACCAATGATAAACTGCTTAAACCACTGAGAAGATGCAGCCGCACCATGTGGAGTGAGAGCACTGTAGGCCAAGCGCCACACCCAGCCCGTGTAACAAATCAATAAGAAAAAGACAAGTGAGACGAGGCAAAAGATTTGAAAGACATGTCACAAAGAATATCCACAATGGCCAGTCAACAGAAAAGGTCTTTGATCTCATTTATAATCGGGGAAATGCAAGGCAAAGGTAAAAATTATACTATTAAAATCTCACTAAAATGATGAATACTGTCAAGTATTTCTGAAGGTGTGGACGCTGTTGGTTGCAGGGTGACTTGGTATAAGCACTTTAGAAAAGAGCCGAGCATTGTCTGCCGCAGATACTCAGCTCCCACATGCCTTCACTTGCTGCTGCTGTGACCAACTGCGT